TATATATTTTCATATAAAATATCTAATGATACGATAATTACGCCGAATGTATCAGTAATTTAAAAAGATTAAATTGCCTGTGATTTGATACATTTTCTCAAAAATAGCGTCAATATTCAAGCCCATTAGAAACTTTCATTTTACACATACGTTCCATCTAATTTATAAACAGAAACAAATAGAATTAAGATTATATATAGTACGTGAAGATTCCTAAGACGAATGGAGATGCATAGGCGCCGCACGTAGAAATTACAATAAGACAAGTGAGTTGGTTCGCTAATTAACTTCCGCACACAAATGAGAGTTCCCCCTTAGTGATCTTCTCCCTCATACAACTGCATCTACTCAAAAAATCAAGCACAAAGACTTCTGCTTCGCCCTCTTCTCTCGCGCTTACACTTATATTTTCACTCTAACAATTTTATGTAGTAAGAAGAATTTGTGTTAGACATTGCGAAACAACCGTGCTTAACGTAGACAATACAAAAAAATATACGTATTTAATTTTGCTTTTACAAATTAATTCATTATTCTTACCGTATGAAAAGATCAAGCAAACAATTTGATATTTTATCAAGATGTATATACGAGTATTTTAACAAACTTGATAAAAAATAAGATAGCCATATCTTTACCGTAACAAGGCAATAGCCTAACGAATTCGTAAAATTTGTATCCAATAAAATATCCATTTTTTTGTTTTGATCATTATTAACATTAATGGTCAATGCAGTTAACGTCGCGATAAAAATTTAAGCCACCGCATTAATTGATTATTACCCTTGTTTACGACAATCATAAAACATAAGCCGTGCCGTTAATTTTTTCACGAGAGTTTCGAGAAAGAAAAAAAGTAAGAACTGACATAGAGTAGAGTAGATGGTAAAACGCAAACTGTTTCCGTTCGAAAACGCGAATGAAACACGAACTGAGACAAATGCTCGAGCAAGAAAGACGTAAATACAGGAAAGACGAGAAGGGAGAAAGGGAAGACTCGGTCGAGGAGGAACGAAAAGCTAAACACCCTTCCGTTTCGTAGGCTGCTATGATTTTGCTTAATAGTTAATGATCACGGCAGACGGATTCGCTTATTTACAATGATACTGCCTTCCATGATTCCGGTCTCTCCTAGGAGGTCGGATAATTGGCGAGGATATCGTGCTCATTTCTCAGCGAACTTAAGAAGCCATGTGCGTATTAAAGGAAAAATAGAGACGAGAATTGAAAAGAAAAAACGAATGACACTGAGACACGCAGCAGGATGAAACTTAAGTGACTGCTTCCTCTTCGATTCATGTGTCATTGTTTTTTCTTTGCCTGTGTACTACGCTTCTACATCTGATTATTTTTTTATTTATTATCATTTCTGTGCACGTAGCGGCATCAATATTAACTATATAACGAAGACGTCAGTACTTTAATTGTGATCACACGAAAAAGAATGAAATAATTAAGACAATAGATAAAATTCTGTGGCGATGTTACTATGCTATTGATATATTATTTAAGCAATAACTAATTTATATAATTTCTTGATATTTCTCTTTCGTTTTAGCATTTTGATAAAAATTTTTAATAAAAAATTGTCGGATGAGAAATCTCTCAAAAATGGAACATTAGATAATAATGAAGAAGTAAGAGATTGTCCAGTAAAAATAATTTGTTTTTGTATCTTTGTGTGTATCGAACTCTTATCTTATGAGTACTAGCACAAATTTATTTCATTGACTGTATTCTAATCGCTATTTGATCGCTACATCATCATAACTATAGACTAGTACGGTATAACCATCACGAGCCGTTGAACAGTAAGCGTTTAAAATATATCATTACTGTCATCTCTTTTGTACCGGTACAAGATAAGCGAGCAGTAAGACAGGATCGATGAGTACATTACAGCACCTTTACCTTCTTCAAGGTATTTTCATTTATGTTATTATAAAGCCTAACATATAATCTGATATTATTTAGTTATAAAAACCAATCTAATTAAAACATATATAATTGTTCTAAAATTAATAAACTATCAAAAGTCTCGTGATATCACTGACGAACGTTTTCTCTTTCGAGAATCTCGATATTTCCAAAATTCACATGTCTCATCATAGGTTCACCGAAAGGGCACGACGCGCATAATGGGGCCCGGTATTCTTTCTCTCGCGAGTGGCTCTCTCATGGTTCATATGGCGATAATATTTACGATCCAGGTAGTTTGTCACTAAATCATTATGTGGGTCCATACCTTTCGGATATGCCTCGTATGCACGCACAATCCGATGCCCTTCGCCACTGGGACTATAGCGGTCCCCGCCGTATCCTCCTCATCTCCCTCAGCCCCGTGTCGTTCCTTTTCTACCTCGGAAACTGCACGCAACACCCCGTCTCCCTCTTTCTTTTTCCTCCTCCCGTTCTCCTCACACACTTCTTTCCTCATGGATACGTGTTCCATGGGCCCGGTAGCGATTCGTCCACGGTCACTCGTGCGGTAAATCAGACCACGTTGACGTTTAATGCCGGCAAATTACACGCGAAATAAATGCCCGCGAAGAGCAGTGCGCAGTGCTCCAAACAGAAACACAAAGAGAAAACGGATAAAGAACGAGAGACGAATGGAGGCTACTACCACTATGCTTCTTCCATACGATCGTTATATCCTGTTTAATCTTTATCTGCCAATTAACAATTCGTTCGTCCCTCGAGTTTTCTCCTTACCCTTGTAACTCTTTCTTGTATATCATTCGGCCAACAAACATTGGAGAATGCGCGTGACTCTCTCTGTCTATCTTATTTTTAAAATATCAAAAAAAAATATATAAAACGTGCAACACAAAATATAAATTCAATAAAAATATTTGTTAAATATATCCATCGATTTTGACATAGATTTAAAAGAAAATAAAATGATATTACAAATAATTTAAATTTGACATTGTTTAATATTATTAATCTGATATTGAGATCGGCAAGTCTGAAGCATGCGAGTTTATTAGAATTGAATTAAAGATCTGCAAAAGATGAATGAGAATTTCGATGTTTATTATTGTAAGCAACTTTGCAATAATTTAGCTTTAGCTTCGGAGTGCAGAATGCCTTTTGAAGCAGCTTGCTGATGAGCCTGGTATTAATGATTTCATGCCCACGCCACGTTGAAACTGCTTATTGACTTGCGCTTGTTACGCGCTGCGAGTATGGTCGGCCGCAAATTATAGATCGTTCAATTTGCAGTAAATCTAGAAAAACGATTCTCGCAAGACACTGAAGGTGCCGAGTTGCCAACTTCCCTTCCGCATCGTCATGTCTCAAAGATATTACATGCATGTTATTCTTGAAGATTCGGCCGTTTCATCTCATGCGCGATATCATATGTGACATTTATAGTATTCGTGCTGTTTTTCAATTTTTGAAATTAAATCAATCAAATATTCTCTTAACGCTAAATTAATAACATATATGATAATAATGAGTTTTTTCCATGAGAATATAATTCAACTGTTGTAACATTTATTTATCTATTTGGTCTTTCGAATATCTGTGTCAATGGTATAATTTCACGGTTTCATCAAATAAAATAAATATGTACAACGCGCGATAATTACTAAAATCAAATACTACACGTCATATTTCTTTTTTTTTTTTTAATTTCAACGAAAGATGAAGGCGGCATGAAGGAGACATGGGAGGAGGAGAAGGGGAGAAAGCGAGGCCAGAAGTGAGGGTTGCCGTGTATACCCGTGCTCAGGATCCCCGGAGGCAATTTCAAGCATTTGAGCGTCGAATACATGGATAATTTACGACACGCGCGCTCCCATTAAACAATCATTAAACTCGTTCGTGTACGCAGGTGAGGCCCGGCACGTCGCGGGCCTAATTTACGGACGGACCTCCGCGGCGTGTGTGTATGTGTGCGCTCGAAATATTATTATTTATCTCGGGTAAAGCGACGATAGTTGACGTAATACGTGCGCTCGAAGATCGGCCGAGTTATCTTCAGAATCAGCGCCTTTTCGGCCACACCTTTATCGTTCGATGCACAGAACGTTTCTTGAAGGAAGCCGCACATTGAATTTCATAAACTTTCTATAAAATTTATATAACTTTATACAGTGAGATATGATATACCTCCTACATTAAGTTTGGAAATTATATTGTTCTAAAAAAACAATGATAAAAAAATTAAGTAAATATTATAAAAGAATATATCATTCTTCAATCTAATTTCTCCATTATTATAATCTAGATTGATAAGTATATTCATTGCTGGTTTCTTCGTTTGAAAAATATGTGCGAATAATTTAATTCACAAATTAAACAACGCATATTTATCCGCAAGAGCATATCTTGAAACATGTACTTAATCGATCTATAAATATTTAATCAATTTCAATTAATCTACTATTACCACATATATATTTGACACGTTATTTAACACGTCCGTTATAAGAGATTTTCAAGTTTTTATATCACGTTTTTGACTATATTCTCCCTCTCTCGCGTCTCGTATAGATTCAAAAGCAACGCGTGAATGCGTCAAAAAACGACAAGAAATCCGTCTGGATCCCGCGATCCACTTTGAACTCGCGTGCGAAGCTCAGAGACGGGCTAAGTATCCGCAACGAAGAAACGTAATGAGTCGCCGGTCGCTACGTTAAGACCGCTGATTGCTCGTTGCCGGAGATTACACGCAATAAAGGCGCAACGGACCGCGGCGACCGATGCCGCGGAGGTAAAAGGGAAACACGGCAGAAAGCATCTCGCGTCATGGACCAAATAGTAGTTCTGTAAGTCAATCGGCTTTAAGTTGGCTCTTAGGCAGAAACGAGTACCGCGATTTCGAGTAGGAAAGATAAAAGAGAGGGAGAGAGAGAGAGGGAGAGAGTAATACGCAACGACAATGGCTGCGTTTCGATATTCACTGCCAATACTCAAAATCTATAATGTATGTGACGTAAACTATAGATTTTCAGTACTGTCGGTGAATATCGAAACGCAGCCAATGTAGCAAGGATTTATTACCGGTGGTATTTCATATCGGGCGAGTTTTACGGGCGCGTATGTGAGGCTCCGGTAGGGCCCCCCACCTCCCTTGTGATATGAGTAGGATCGTGGCAGTCGAGGGGCCACGACGAAAAGCTCACCTATACACGGCACGAGTGCATTGAATCCGTTGCATCGCGTGCAACATCCGTAAAAAAGATTTCTCGCCGCGTCATGAGCTGTTCACGATTAACCCTGGCAAAAGAGAACTATATTTAAGACACCTGAATCAAGAGTTAATAAAAAATGTTCTCCCGGGACATTTTTATGCAAATGCAATTTTCTACCAAAAAAAAATAATCTTATAAATATCTTTTCTGATTTTTTGACATGAAAATATAAGATTTGAAAAAACACGCCACGAAAGAAAGGTAGCATCTGTGTTACGATCCGCGGTTCACACGAGACCGTAAACTGAGATAACGTGTGGACGAAGCGCGCTGGATCACGTTTGCTCAAGATTACCGCACGTTTCATGTAATTGTAGACGTATGAAGTTTATTACACTTTGAATATAATTTCTCCAGACTTAATTCCTACAAATATCAACTACGAGAATCCTTCTCTGACTGAATTAATTTTTGTTTGCAAAGCGTAACAAATAAAAATTTATTAAATATCCGTAATGAAAGTTTTATGTAAGTTTAGGCAAGATATTTTGAAAAAAAGAATTTTATAAGAATTTCAACAATCCTAAAAAATTTTTAGAAAAGACGGATATTTGCCAAAATGAACACACATAAATACAGAATATAATTTCTCTAATCTCCTGTACTATAATTCAAATTACTTCTGCAATTAGAATAGCATTTTAATTAACATTCATGTAAATGAAGAGATTGATAATGATAACATAAAAGTCATTACATTAGCATGAAAATCCGTTATTTTTTCTCATAATATTTATAATAAATTTAAATATTTGTGCGGTAAATGAGCGCAAATTTGCTGTTCGCTCTCTTCATCCATCTTATATTTTGTACTTCGAAATTATATGATTGTAATTAACTAAATGTCATTATGTATTACAGTTTTGCGAGGGAGGAACGGTTTTGGATCTCGTTCACGGGATGAGCGCAAGTGACAAAAGAATGCGAGAGGAGCATATTGCCTTCATCTTGAAAGAAGTGATCAAGGTAAGTTTTTCCCTGTTATATAATATCAATATACATATTTTCTATTATATATATATATATATATACACATATTCTCTCAGGGAAGCAGAGAAAACAAAGCTATTAATATCTACGCAACATCAAAAAGTAGTTGAGAAAGATGCTGAGACTGATCGCAAGAAAGCTGTTATCGAAGCTGAGAAGGAAGCACAGGTTGCAAAGATTCAATATAATCAAAAAATCATGGAGAAAGAGTCTCTGCAACAAATGGCTGCGATAGAAGACGAGATGCATTTAGCGAGACAGAAGAGCCGTTCAGATGCCGAATTTTACCAAATGAAAATGCAAGCC